TCTTCTAACAAATTCTGTTGTTTTTTTCCCCTCTCACCCTAAGAATATTTTATCAGGGGGAAAAGATTAGGACAATCAAGGGTGTGACGCTAGTCATTGCCCTATTTATTTATTTATTTATTTATTTATTTATTTATTTTGCTGTCAAGAAATAATTTACAATCAGGAGCAGGGAATTTGGATGAAAAGGAGTCTGATTGCTGAATCCAGAGTGGTCACCTCGCAGGAACTGGAGCTGGTGGGTGAAGTCAAAGACTCATGGCCCCCGGCTCTCTGAGGAGGAGGATGGTGTGGGAGTCTGTCTGGCGGCCAAGACTGGCCACGCCCACCTGGCCTAAGCATCCTGGCCACTGGGTCTGCCCAGGGACCCACTTCTGCCCTGTCCTTGGTGCTCTGAGCTCCCAGGATGTCGATGGTCACGTTGCCCAGACAGCCCGCGTGGGGACATCCATCGGGCGGTTCAAGGACATCCATCGGGCGGCTCAGGTGCTCCACCAGGTGGGGCCTTGAGTGACTATCTCAGTTGTGGTCAGCTGGACACATGCAGGCAGAGCCCCGAATCCCGATTGGCGTCTCTCCTAGACCTGCTCTCCTGGTGCCGCTCACCTAGGTGCCCTGGGCTACGCCATGAGATCAGACCTTGCCCTTTGCAGTTGGCGCTGGCTTGAACCAGGTCGGAGTCGGGAAGGGGTGGCCAGTGCTGAGCTGCAGAGAGAAACGGGCGCCTTCAGGGCTCACTGTCTGGGTCGCACCTGCTCCGCGGCCAGCTCTGAGGGGCTTCCCTTGATCTTGATCTCCTGCTGCCTCATCACAGCGCGATGAACGACATCCATCACCCACACTCTGCCCCAGCCCAGCCCAGGCCGGCGCTCCTGAATTATTTCCAATTAGCGGATTTGTGGTAACACATGTCCAGCCGTGGCCTCCCTCACAGGTCAGCATGTGGCACGGCCACGTGTAATTAGGCTGAGTGATGGCCAAACGTGACTCCCCACAGGGACAGGAGTGACGGCAATTCCCACCCACGGCCTCTGCCTCATCCTCATCTGGGGGTCCAGCCACCGCCTGTGGGGTCTGATTTGACAGCGACCTTCCTCTGCTCCTCTCTGCGCACCCCGGCGTGCAGGGCGCTCTGTGTCTGTCTGGGAGAAACAGACGGAAAGGTGATGGACAGACAGACCCTGCAAACTGTGTGACAGGCTGTGGGGTGGGAGGCCCCCGCGGTCAGTCTGTCCCACAAGGGGCCACTGAGTTTCCAGTAGAAGCTACTTACCTGAACTCCCGATGTCCCCAGTGAGGTGTCATTCTGTTGTGGATAAGGGGGGGAGGGGCCTTCTAAGAAACTTTCAAAATGAGGAGATGCCCTCCTGCTAGGATATCGAGTGAAAAATGAGATTTAAAGGCCTGTAGAGGACAAGCTGGAATTAAAGCTATTCATTATAAAATGCAATATTATCAGACAACCAATAACTAATATCTAATCTATACAGCATATATTATCATATTATCTAGGGAGAGAGATTAATAGGGAAAAAATACTGGGGAGGGGAGGGGAGGCCCCCGAGGGACCACACTTATTTCCCTGCACAAGTTCGACTCGCTGAGCCCTCCTGTGCCTTCCAGCTGTGCTGCCGAGGCTCAGGGCCGGTAGAAATGACTGTACTGCCCCTTACCAAACAGGCGCGCTCTCGTCCATCAGCAGTGGTTTCCTTGCCACCGCCTGCCTCGGTTTACCTTTCTGTGATCCCATCTCCGGACCCCATGCACGGCCTCTCCTCCTCTCCCAGTCTGCGCTGGCCGGTGGCCCTGTCCACGCCTGGGTTTCTGGGAGTAGGGGTTCCAGTTCTGTGTCTCATCCAAGACTGTGCCCTGAGCCGCAGGCGGGAGCTTCCTCTGTGAGCCCGGGGCCCTGAGCTTTCAGAGTCACCACAACCAGCCTTCCTCTCTTTTCTGACTCCCTCCGCCCTCCCAGCTCCTCGGGCGGGGAGGGGCGCTTGGCCGAGCTAACTCCATGCTGAGCAGAACTGTGGGCTCCGCTCCCCCTCATCTCTCACTCTGATGAGTCAGGCATCGAACTGCCAGCTCTCCTCCTCCCGCGGAGATGCCTCCTGCGTGCCTGCGTGGCTGTCGCCCGGGGCCGCGGGGCCCACAGATGGAGAGTTTTCGGGAGGAAGAACCCGCCGGATCAGCATTGGCTTGGAAAGTAGTTCTGGTGGAGGGGCCAGGAAACCAGCCCTTCCATCTCTCTCACCTTCTCATTCTGATCTTTCACTTAAAACAACAGAGTAAAACCATTTGAAAGGAAAACCTTCTACAGGCTGCAGAATCTTATGTCGTTGATTTCTCCCTAACACCCAACGTTACGTTTCCACAAGGTAGAAAGGGTGAGCATGGGTAGATGTTCGCGTGTGTGCATCTATGCTGGCTCGGGTGCTATTCGCTCACCTCAGCTGGGATTTCTGTGGGTGTTGCCTGAAGAACAGGGACAGACTTCAGGCTGTTTCCATTAGAGGAAGCCATGGGCCCCACCCCAGTCTGGCCCGTGGGGGTGCTGACAGGTCAGTGGACCTGCCAGCCAGCAGCACAGGTCTGCCCGGCACCGAGCCTCTGCTCACAGACGGGCTGGTGCTCCGACCTCTGGTACTCTGAGGCAGTGGTCAGCAAACTTCTTAGTCACCAGAGCCAAATATCAACAGTACAATGATTGAAATTTATTTGGAGAGCCACATTTTTTAAACTAAAACTTCTCCTAAAGCCACTTCTTCAACATAGACTCGCCCAGGCCGTGGTATTTTGTGGAAGAGCCATACTCAAGGGGCCAAAGAGCTGCATATGGCTTGGGAGCCGTGGTTTGCTTCTTGCAGTGCTTCTTGCTCCGAGTCACTGAAATCCCCGTGGGGATGCGTGCCTCCCTTCCAGGGGTGTAGGGTTGTTTCTGGGTGTGTGTAGGAGTCCCTGAGATGAGAGCCAGAAGCAGGGGAAGAGCCCTTAGTCGGTGGAGACCGCTCTGCGGTGTCCCTGGAATTAGCAGGCAGCAGGGTGTGCATGGGCTCCAAAGCAGTGTTAAGTGAGTACAGCTAAGCCCGTGGCGGGAAGCGGCAGAGCAGGGCGGCTGCTTTGAGGTTCTCGCAGTGAACAGTCACTTGTGTGACTTCCAGCTCTGGCTCGGCTCCGAGTCTCGCAGCTGCCCAAGGCGCCTTGTGCCCAGGGCACAGCGAAGCCAGGGAGGGAACATGGATCACCACTGACAAACGCAGCCTTTGGCAGAACCACTCCAAGGACAGTGCTGGTGGGAATGGGGTGAGACCCCTTCCCTCCCTCCCACCCCCAGTGCCCAAGGAAGCCCCCCCCAGATGGCTGAAACCCGCCTTCCTGGGAGCTTGGGGCCCATGCGGGTTGTGCAGAGAGCACCGTGCAGGCCCAGCTTCCAAGTGATGGAGAAGGGTGAGTAGCGATCACTCAAACAGGAGCCACCATTGCCTGCCAAAGCTGCCCCCTCAGTACCTCAGTCTGGCTGTGCCCATCAAAGTTAAGACACATCACATTGGTGGGCACTTACAAACATAGGCACATGAATTAAAAGCTTAAGTTGAATAGTAAAAGGCTTCAAATCTGCTGAGCTTTCTAATTTTAGGTGAGATAGAGAAAAAACAAACAAACACAACCCTGCAAAATCTTGCCAGTACTTTTGCATCAAAGAGAGAGATACATTTGCTAATTGAAAAATAGTGAAAAATATGGAGATGCCAGCTATGCAAATTAACATATGCCCAGATCTAAAAGAAATCATGCCAGAGCAGGAGGAAATTAAGCAAATTAGGGTTATGTGGAAACATCCCTAGAAGAAAAATGAGAGGGCTCAGGTGACTCAGTTTGTCCCTAGGAGGGTGGCGTGGACCAGTGCAGAGCACGGGGATGGAGGGTCCCAGGTATGTCTGTGGCTGCAGGCCGGTGACTGCATGCCCTCCCGCCCAGGTCAGGCTGAGTTTGCTACGTGCTCCTGAATGCAAGCCTCACAACCCCCCTTTGGCCGGAGCAGCAGGAAGCCCTCCACCAGGCTCCTCAGGAGCACTGGGCTTGAGCTGCAGGTAGCTGGTTGGGCTTCTCCACTTAGCGACCTGAGGACCTAATTAGCTGGGGAAGTCTCCATCCCGCCCCCAGCACAAACCGCCCATGACTGACTGGGCTGCGTTCCCCGAGCTGCCCAGGATCACAAGCAAGTGGCTGGGCCTCCGGGGATGGGTCTGTGGCAGGAGGGAGGTCTGGGGAGCTATTGGGAAGCTCGCCGCCTGGTGGTGACTGCTCTTAGGCAGCGCTGAGCTGAGCCAGGCTGTGGGCCAGGCAGGGGTGGGGAAAAGAAGGGTTTGTCCTTGGCCCCTGGCAGCAGAAGCACAGCTCTGTGCCTGGGGAACCCCATCGGGTTGACAGCGGGCTTCTCCTGAGAAAGAGGGCGTCCCGTGCAAAGGCCCGGAGGCGACCTCCCGGCGCGTTGCACAGAAGCTAGCGGAGCGCGGGGTAGGGCCGCGGAAGGAGGGCCCGCTGGGGGCTTGGGACAGTGTTTGGCACATTCACCCCGAAAGAAATCTCTTCCCCGGTGACAATCCGCGCCGCCTGGCGCCGGGGTCTTCAACCAGCATCCCCTCGGGCCCTGCGCCCTTGACCCCAGAGAAGCCGGGCGGAGAGCGGACCTTGCTCGGCGGCCCCGACTGGCGCCCCAGCCCCGCCCGGCGGCGGGACGTGCCCGGCTGGAGCGCGGCCACCTGGGCTTCCGCTCGCCACCGCGCGGATTCGGGCTCCGGGCTCCGGGCTCCGGCGCTTTGCGCACCGTGGCGAGGGCCGGGCGCAATCCGCGGGATCCGGGCCAGGCGCGCCCCCAGCTCCCGGCGCCCCCGCCTGCCCCGCCTGCCCGGGGTCCGATCCGGGTGGGTGCGGGCGGCCGGGCGGGGCCGGGAGTCCGGGGCGCGGCGGGCGGGGCGGGCGGAGGTCCGGGGCGGGGGCTGCGCCGCGGCCGCGCTCGGAGGGAGGACGCGGGCGGGAGGAGGGGCTCCCCGCGCGGGGCAGGGGCGGAGCGAGCGGCGGCGGCGGCGGCGGCGCCGCGGAACCAAGTGAGTTCGCTCCGGAGCCCGCGCCGCGGCCGGCCGCACCCCCGGCGCCCGCCCGCCCCCGCCGCCCCCGCCGCCCCGGCCGCCGCCGCCCGCGTGGGCATGTAGGATGCTGGTGGGCTCCGGGCTCCCGCGGCGGCGGCGGCAGCCTCTCCTCTGGCCGCTGCACGCGGACCCGCCGCCGCCGCCGCCGCCCTGGGTCTGGATGGTCCCCGGCTCCACCGGGCTGCTCCGGCTGGGCGCCGGGGTCGCGCCCCCGCCCGTGCTGCTCGCAGCGGCCCGGCCCCCCGCCGCCCCGCTGCTCCCGGGGCCGCCCGGCTGGCCAGCCCCCGGCGAGCCGCTGCTGCCGCTGGTGCCGCTGCCCGCTGCGCCAGACCCCGCCGCCGCCGCCAGCGCCGCGCACCGCTACCCGCTGCTCCCCGGGCAGGTAACGCCCCCGCCCCCGCCCCCGCCCCGGTCCCGGGTTCGGGTCCCCGCGCGCCCCTGCCCCGGGCGCGGCCCTCGCTGGCCCGGGCGGCCGGCCTGGGGCCCGGGCTCTCCCGCCCCCGGAGGTCCGGGCTCCCCAGCCAGCAGCGCCAGCCCGGCAGCCGTGCATCGGCCACAAAGTTCATGCTTTGACGTCCCGCTCTGCCCCCCGAAGCAGTCTTCCCGTATTTTCCTCGGTCTCTCAGCCAAGCCTTTTGGGGACCCGCACCCCAAGGCCCGAGCTGGAACCCAGGTGGCCGCAACTTCGGCGGCGCCGGGGCCGCTGTCCAGCGCGCGCGGTGCTGAAGCCGCCGCCGCGGGAGCCGGCTGATGGCAGAGAAGTTAATACTTTCATAGTCTCTCTCCGCCAGACTTGAAAATCAGGCTGGGAATCGATAGCTGTTTCTGATTCCGATCTGGTTGGGGTTTGTGTGTTGTTGTTTTTTTTTTCCTCTTCGGTGTGAAAATAGACTCAGGACAATGCTTAAGAGAATGCAAGCCAGTGGAAGCTGCAGGGGAATCCTGCCTTCAATACGGAGAAATGTGACCGGTGATAAACCGCCGCCCCCACCCCCAACCGAGGTCCACCCGAGCCCGCCTCCTTAGCTAGCTGACGCCATCCTGCACTTTGGAATACTTGGGCATGGAAAACCCGGAATTAAAAAAGGAAAAGTGATTGTACCTTTGGTTAGTGGTGCAACCCAGCAAGGCAGGCTGGTTTGGGCAAGATGCATTGTTTGCTCTCTTAACTATGCGGATGCATTTAAATCAGGGGAAAACGCGTTTTATTCCAAGGGTAGTATTCGTTAGCATATTCAAACGAGTGGTGTGTGAGAACCCACCATTTGATTAATTTTATTCCCATCGTATCTTGTGAGCTTTCCTTAAGGATGTTGTTAAACTCCGCCCACACTGGTCTTTAGACCTGATGATAACATCACACATGCAGTCCTGGATGCCTATTTTGATGTGCGATGCAGTTCATATCGGGTTTTATTGAATAAACGTGGGTAGGTTTTTTTTTGGCATTTTCAGGGGTTGCTATGTCAGAGTGCTGCCACTAGAGGTATATGATGCCCAGGAACTACATTTTCTCTCTCTCTCTCCCCCTCCTATATAGAACACTGCATTTTTTGGGGGTGTAAATTTAAAAATGTATTTTAAAAAAATCTTCTTTTTAAAAATATTTTTGCGCTACATGTTTTCTGTGAAATGACAATATTTAGAACCAGAAGGACATTTTCACGTAACAGGAAAATTTAAGAAAAAAAAATGCTTTTATGATCTTAAAAGAAGTAGATGTGGAAGCATTCCACATCATGGAGCAACAGCTCTGTCAGTTCTCTGCTCGTGACAATTCGGTTATTGTAACCAGGGAGACTGTCTCCGAGCCGGCCTGCCCCTCTGGCTGCTTGCGGTTCACTCTGTGCTTGGGGATCTTTGGTTATCGATGAGCCGCCCTTTCCTCTCCTTTGCCTTGGAATCTGTTAGCACTTGAGAGGCAAGGGCAACTTTCAATCTTAGTTCCTTCATGAGCTTTATTTTGAAAATATCATTGGTGTTTGTCCTTTAAAAAGATGCGTATCATTCGTGCAGAATGTGATACTGGCAGGGACTACCATGACATACAGCTCTCCGCTTGCCTCTGAAGAGAATTCAAGATCCATACAGGGATGACCCAGCATCTCCCCTCTCCATTGTGGCTCCTCCTAGCTCAGGCAGAAGCCCACTTCTCACCCGGCTCTGTGGTTTTGTGCTTAAAAGTTCTTTCTCAGTATCAAAGAGTGCAGTGTGGATCATGGTTTGTGACGGTATCCATTTTTAAGACGTGTGGGTTTTTATTTATTTATTTATTTATTTATTTTTAACTGGGGAAAGAGGAGGTTTTTCTCCTCGTTAAATACATATATTTTTAATTCCATTTTTTTAAAAATTAAAAAGCAGCTGCCCCCGTAGCCTGGGACAAACTAGAGCTGATAGATCTGGGCTAACAAGCACTCCCTTCTCTCTTCTTGGGTTTCAGTGGCTATTCGGTGGCTCTTCTCCTCCCGTAGGCCTGTCCCCCTCTTCCACTGTGGAGCTGGTGCCCATTTTCCCACATGTCTGCCCATCTGCTCTCCCACCTCCTGCTGGGAAAGGTTGGATAGACAAACGGATACCCAACTGTAAGGTAAACATGCAAGTAGTTTCATTGGATAAGTGGGAGTCAGTTATGAAGTCGTTGGGTATTTCCATAACAATAGAAAACAGCGTGTTTTCTCTCTGCTAATTGCACCAGATCGACCTTCTAGGTCTAAAGAGGGATCTTTTCAAAACAAGATCAGTCTGTTAAACACCAGCAGATTGGAGGGGGTAAGGGGTGGGGGAGGCAGGGGAAGGGAATGGCATTTCATTTTAGCTTAATATATTTAGATTCCATAGAACGATATAGAATTTTCCATTGGAAATCAGAAGCTACTCTTTACAATTTTTTAATTCAGTTTTTAAACCTGTAACAATGGGTCAGCAGCTGGCCTTAAACACGATGTAATTCAAGTATACATTTTTAAAAGCGAGCTTTTCTTGCTATGACTGCTTTAAGCATTCCTCTTTCTGGTGGTTTATTTTGGCGTTTGAATTCAAATGTACTGATTACACTTCATTTGAAAACTTAAAAAAAAAAAAAAAGAAAGAAAAGAAAAATTGTATGGTGACTAGTCTGTGCCAAAGGACCTCCTTGTGATGGTTCTTTAGTCTGTCCACGGGCTGCTGTGCTGAATTAATCAAGTCAGTCGTGGAAGACCAGCGCAGACCACGGCACCTTCATGGTCATTGTTATTGGAGCCCGGTGGATCTTTAGGTTGAGGAGGATGCTTTTATAGAGTCCCTGCTTAGAGACTCTCCAATATTTGATCAATGTAAGACAAGACAGATATTTTACAGTCGTCTTTCGTCTTTCTCATGTGCATGGTCTGAATGTCACACTTGCTTTCTTTTTTGGACAGATCTTTTTAAATAATTCCTTTGCTCTGGACTCAACGTGGATATATCCCGAGGAATCAAGATTGTTCCATGGGTATGAAAAGCCTCATTTATTGGCAAATCAAGTAGCTGTGTCTCTGTCCAGGCCAGCGCCTGCCTCCAGGTCTCTTCCCACAGTGGTGTTAGCACCTCAGCCTATACCAGGTTGGTGCCCAATTAGCCGTGCCCGCGTGCTTTTTTACTTTTCTTCCTCCTTTTTGTTCTAGCCACAAGTGAGCCAGTTGTAGGAATGAATACTGCATTTGCCATTTTAATGAAACAATTCTTTTACATTCGTTCAGTAACATATCATTTCTTTTCCTTGGCATGTTTCCTTTTGGTAAAGAAATGGAGTTTGGGGTAACTTCACTGTGTTTGGGGGGAGGCATGGAATTTGATTTAAGATTTTGATTCAAGATTGATTTAAGAATTTGATTTAAGATTGAAGAGATGGCAGAAGGGATTTTCCAGGACCATATTTTTGGTGCTTCATTTTTAGAATTGGACCACAGCTTCTGCTGGTAGCTCTTAACAGGGGCACCACGTGATCAGGACACTCATGTGGGGCGAGGTGCATGCGTCAACGCTGCCCAGTCTGCAGAACATGTGAGGTTTCTGTGACCTCACATAGCGAGCGGTGCCGGGCATGGTGTAGAGAAGCACATACTATTTGGAAGACGAGTTTTGTTCTGTCTTTGGAGTCTCGGTGACCTGAAAGAACACTTGTCTGGGAATAAACTCCCTTGAAATAATCCCTTCATGAAAGATCGTGTAATAAACCCATATAGTAACAGGAGAGCAGAATCGTCTTATGAATTTTTAAATTGATTTTTAAAATCACCTCAACATAAGATCATATTATAAAAGCAAATGTTGCCAGTGCCAGAATTACCTTGCAACACCCTCCATTATGGAATATTTTATGACTTCAGAATTACATTAGCTTCCTGTAATTTCCTACCTACCACGCACGTCTCGACGGGTGTCTCTGAAATTTAGTAATAAGGACATGCCCTGTGGCTAACGGGATGGTTGGGGAGATAGGTCTGCGGGCTGCTCTGTTTGCCTACCTTGCGTCTTCTAATTTGCTAGGGGTCTTGTTTAGTAATAAGTCAGGAAGAACAGCTTCGTTATTTGTGTGTTTTTTTTTCCATGGGCCTTAATGATTCTTGACTGAAACTTGCCTTCTGTCCTTGCCTGGTAACTAGGCATTACCACGTTATTAAAATCCGCACGAGCAGCATCCACACGTGCATTTATAGACATTTTTCAAGAAGATGATTATGTTTCCTATTTCGTGTAATGATGATGAAAGGTGGTTAGGCTGCATGGGTTCACACAAGGATTCGTGGCTGCAGGTGGCTCTTTTGGTATACGTAAGCATAATATTTCTATTTCCTCATGCATCAGCAATAGCTGTCACCCAGATAATTAGAAATTAAGTTTAAAAAGAGGTAAGTTAGTTAAACCAGTCAGGCAGAATCTTTGCGTCAACTTCCCAACTCTCAGCCCATCCTTGAGTATTATAGATGTTTTGCAGTGTACCTTAACCTCTTCTTGGAACACTCATACTACGAACACACTAAATATCTCTTTAGTTGAAGAAGCTGTTGATGTAAGAATCATCCAAACCTGTGGAGAATTTTTAATAAGAGTTTATTTGAGCGAAACTGATGACAGCTGCCGGGAAGCAAGATCTCAAACACTCCTGAGATAATCGTTTTTGCAGCTTCTTTTATGCATTTGAAATTAAGGAGGGAACCCAGGGAAGATTAGAGAAAGCTAGGCGGGGATCGGATTACAGAATAGTTAATAAGATTATGTACTCTTTGGAGGGTGGTAATTGCTTTTGTTATTTCAAAGGTGCACTAAGGTAGATGCACAGGAACAATGAACAAGGCTGGCTTATAACTTTTCACTAAAGGAGAGGGCAAAGGGGGGATAAACAATGGCGGAAAGAGATTGGACTCTGGGTGACGAGGGCACAATGCAGTGGGCAGATGATGTGTTATTGAGTTGTATGCTTGAAACCTGTAGGGTTTTATTAACCAATGTCACCCCAATACATTTAATAAAAAAGAAGTTAGAAGCCTGGGGTGTCACTACCCACCATGACCTACCCAGTTAGGAATTTATGGTCAGATCACTGTGTGAGGTTACTTTCTGTAGAACCCCTTTTTCTTCCAGAATTCCCCCTTTTGATTATAAATCAATCTGAAGGATGCCTTGATGACCAACCTTTGGTTGGACAATGTGGCCTCACAGGGCTCAAAAGGCTCAGTTTTAGGAAGTCTCAGTATCAATGCTTGTTGAGATGGTGGACCATTGGGGATGGGCAGTGCTATAGCCATGAGATGTGAGGCTGAATTTCCCCCAAAAGGGAGGGCAGGTGAACGGAAGGCTTTGGGTCCTGTGGCTTTCACTGTGAAGAACATTGAACCATTTCTATCCTGTAAACTGTCATGATCTGAGTTTTGTCTTCTGCCTCATTTTTTTTTCTGTATTTGGTATGTAGTATGACATTTATGTAAGCCATGAAAGAGAGTATTAAGTTCAGTCATCAGCAACAGTTGGACTGGCATTGTCCCCAGACTGGCCCGCAGGTCAGCTCCCACCGAAGTGCAGGCCTCCCCCGAGGTCTCCTTTTCTGAGAGAAGGCACAGGTCAGGCTGAGGGACCCCCCTCCTCCAAGTGCATGAATTTTCATGCACCGGGCCTCTAGTTCAAAAATATAAAGGACTTTCAACTCAATAACAACACTCTCAAACAAACAATCTGATTAGAAATTGGGCAGAAAAACAAAACAGATATTTGTCCAAGAAGACAAACAGATGGCCAACGGGTACAAGAAAAGATTCTCAATATCACTAGTCATCAAGACAATGCAAATAAAAGCCACAATGAGTATCACCTCACACCTGCTTGCATAACTATTATAAATAAGATGAGAGATAACAAGAAGTTGGTGAGGATGTGGGGGAAAGTGAACCCCTGGGCATGATGGCTGGGGAGGTAAATTGGTTCAGTCGTTATGGAAAACAGCACAGAGGTCTAAACAATTAAAAATAGAAGTACCATGTGATTCAGTGATACCACTTCTGGGCATATACAGAAAGGAAATGAAGGCAGGATATCGAAGAGGTACCTGCATTTCCATGTTCATTACAGCATTGTTCACAGTAGCCAAGGTGTGGGAGACAACCTGCGGATCCACCTATAAATGAATGGAAAAAGAAGATACAGTACATGTAATACAATTGAATATTACTCAGCTAGGAGATAGGAAGAAATCCTACCATTTGGGACAACATGGGTGGACCTTGAGGGCATGAGACTAGATGAGAAAAGCCAGGCACAGAAAGACTAATCCTGGAGGATCTCACTTATCTGTGGATCTTAAAAAAGCCACATCTCAAAAAGCAGAGACCAGACTGGCGGTTGCCAGGGCTGAAAGAAGTGGACGTGGTAGATGCTGGTCAAAGGTACAGACTTGCTGTTGGGAGAGGAACATGCTTTGGGGCACTAACTCACAGCCCACGATTACAGTCAACAAGATGGAATCACCTACAACAGCTATCCAGAGACTAGACCTCAAACGCTCTCACAAAAACAAACAAAACCCAAACACCTCCACAAAACCCAAGAAAATCCTCAACTCAACGAGCTAAGCTTCCATCTTAGGAAACTAGAAAAGGGACAGCTAACCTGTAAGAGGCCGAACGGAGGAAATAGTGAAGATAAGAGAAGGAATCAAAGAACCTAAAACGAGAAAAATATAAAGAAAATCAATGACAGCAAAAGTTCTTTTTTAAAAAATGATCGGTACCAGTACAGTCAGAACCCCCTGGCTATAGAGTATAAGAAAAAAGAGAGACAACACAGATTGCTGAAGTCATGACGAGCAAAAGGCATCACTATAGATTTTAGTACAGAAACTTAATGGGAAAACCATATAGAGGACCTCATGGCGATGAGTTTAACAGCCTGGAAGAAACAGGCATAGTCTTTGTAAGTCACCCCTACCTGTGCTTACTCCAGAAGAAACAAAGAATGGATAACCAGAAGCACTGAAGCAGCTCTGTTCTTCCAATAGAGAGCACCAGGCCCAGACAGCTCACTGCACCCCTGCCCAGTGTGTAACGAGGAAAGAATACCATGTCTAAGTAAATTGCTTCAGAAAATAAAAGCAGGAATAGCATTTCGCAAGTTATTATTATTATTATTTTTTTTAGGTCAGCATCCCTCTGATAAAAAAACCGAATAGATACTACAAAAAAGACAATTACAGGCCCATATGCTTCATAAACATTAGTGAAAAAAAAATCCTCAGCATAATATTAGTGATGTACACAGCTCACAGCACCCCATGAGCCAGTGGGGCTTTTTGTAGGAATGCGATGCCAGCCCAGCGTTAGAAAATCAATGTCATTTACTTTACAGAAACAACGAAGAAGAAAAACAGCAGGATCATTTCAATAGATGTGGAAAATACATTTGTCAAACTCAAAATCTATTCAGATATTAAAAAAAAAAACAACAAACCTCTAATTCAACTCAGTATTAAAGGGGACATCATCAGACTGACAAAGAACATCTATGAAAGGCCCACAGCTACAGTCATATCTCATACTGAACGCCTGATGTTTTCTGAGATGGAGAATGGGACGAGGATTTGTGCTCTCAACTCTCCCATGCAAGCCTGTGCTGGAAGGCCTACCCGATGCAATAAAGAACAAGAAAAAAGAACGAGGAGCATGCACACAGAGGGAGGAGGAAGAAACGAAACTGTCTTCTGTGCAGACAAAGCGAAGCATGCAGACCATCATCCCTAAGAGTCTACTGAGAGCCGTCGTACCAATAGGTTGTTTATCAAGGTTGCAGGCTACAAGGTCAATGTGAAAATTCAATCGCAGTGCTGTATTGCTGGTGGCGAACAATTGGAAATTAAAATAAAATGGTAGTACATTAAAGCACCCCGAACATGAAATGTTTACAGAGGAAGCTAACAAAATATGTACCCAGAAAACTAGAAAACATTGGTTAGAGAAATCAGACTTTAATAAATGGAGAGAGATTTTGTGTTGATGGGCTGAGAGACTCAATGTTAAGATGCCAATTCCTTCCAGGTTGACCTATGAGTTCCATGTAATCCTAAATAAAACCCC